AATTGAAAATTATACAGCAATTCAAATGGCAAAAGTGATTTTCTGCTCCTCTTTTAAATGCAGATGTAATGCAAAGTTTTTAAAAACAAAATATTGTGTTTTCTCTGCACTAATGTCTGTTTTTTGGCCACAACTAAATATCAATTGCAGCGCTTCTCCAGCTCTACCACCAAAACAAATGTTGGCTTACATTGTGTTTCCGTTTTGTTTCGTTACAGAATTATATACTATTTTATTATATTAAATGTGATATTCCTCTCCCCTAAACAAATGGATTGTATTCTCTCTCTCTCTCTCTCTCTCTCTCTCTCTCTCCAAAAACTTTATTCTCCCATAAGATAATGAGTATGTGTTAGTGTATACAGTACTAGATGAGAGAGCACAGGGAGTGTGAGCACAGTTATGTCATATACATGTATATATTCTGTACCCTAAGTTTGTATACGAATGTTATGTGCAATGGATTCAAGAGTGAGTGAGTGTGTGATAGAGAGTGTGAGAGAGTTATAGACAGCATATGTGTGTAGGAAATGGTGAAGAGATGTTGTGTTTTGTGTGTGAAAAATGTTATGCAAAATACATCTATGTATAAATCGTCACACAAGTGATATACTGTTATACCCTATGTCTTAGAAAGTGGTATAAAGTATGATGATTATTTTTCTGGTACAGTAGTGAATACTGTGGTGCACTGTAGTGAACACTTGGTATGTTGTGGTGGGATATATTCACTATATATTATGTGCGATAAGGGATCTAGGGCATAATTTGTCTCTCCATTTGCTCTCTCTCTCTCTCTCTCTCTCTCTCTCTCTCTCTCGCATATAATTTATTTGATTTTCACTCAGTTTTGTCATTGAATTAAAGTTTTTTATTGCTATTTATTTTATATATAATATTAAAAGCTATACTTAATGTGTGTTTTGTTAATGCATTTCTAACACAAGTTATGAAAAGAGTGTTTGTATTTTGTTTTAATGCATATTTTGATATTAAAGTTACAGCCAAATAGTGTACTGATAACAACCGGGTAATCATCGCCAGTGAATAATGTACTGTAATGTATACTACCTTATAGTGTACACTGTATTTCCCACACGACGGCCAATATATTGATACATCAAAGAGAGTGATAGAGATATACAGTGTGTTTGTGTTATATGGGAAACAAGTGATGAAAATGTGTTTTTAAATGACATTTATTGTGTTCAATTGTGAAGTGTGCATGTTTGAACATGTTAAAAAACATTTATCATTTAAATTAAATCAATCATGTGCATATGTGTTTATGATTTAAATGTATGTGAATTAGTAATTTTAATTAAAAATTATAATTAAAAAATTGACATTGTGCTAAAACTTATAACAACTTCATTCATATTAATGTGTGTTTAAAAAATCACACAATATTTACAATTACAAAAACAACCATGTTATGATATAAACTTTGCCCCCACATAATCCACCCAATCACGTCAACTCACACAACCATACCATAAGCAACCATGCATTTACACCCCACCACATGGCCGGGCCGCTCACTGCCAATACTACTGCTGGCCATCGGGTGGTGGCTGTGCTGTTGGTGTCCGTATCCCAGCGCCGGTATGACAGTGACAATGAGCCCAACCAATCAGAAAGTGTTTGACAACTCCAACATCACCTTGGTGTGTGTAGCCTCGGCCAACAATCATACCGGTAACCTGTCGCTAAGCGCACGGGCCCGCATGTTCCTGGTACTATTGACCATACCGCGGGGTGGCCAGGCTCACCAGGTACAGGGTGTGCTGCATTGCGACGCCCGGCGTACCCGGTGCGAGAGCGAGTTCAATTTGGCCGTAGACTGTATTAGCGATCGGATTAATATATCCAAACCGATGGACACACTGGAGACGGCGTGTCAGTTAAATGACGAGGCTATTTGCTCCAATGATTGGCTTCAAAAGCACCGCGATGATTGTGTCACACTCGGCAAATTGACCGTTATTAAAGGTATGTGCATTTTTTGAGCTAGCATTAATTTATTAAGTGATTGATTGAGGTTGACTTTATAATAATTGTGTTTAAAATTAATTGTAATTTTAATTATTAGTACTTTAATATTGTTTGTAATAAATTATTTATTTGTGTTAATTAATTAATAAAATCATCGCAGAATAGTTTAGTAATTTATAATTTAGGCTAAAATATATAAATTATGTTTTAATTAATTTTAAATGAAATAAAACTTCTTATAAATATTGAAACACATAATATTTTTTTCGTATAATCTGTTTATCAATTTTGGGTTTATTTTAATTTGTGAGACGAAAATATTGTTATCTATACTGTAATATGGTATTCAATTAAACCGTTTTATATTTAATTACAGTGTTTTTAAACATGGTTTAAGTGTTAAATACATGATTTTGCTCATACAGTATATTAAGTACCGGTTTTTTTTAGTTTAGTGGCCATAAAATTATATGCAATTTCCTATTTTCAAATAGTGTTTCTGTTTCTAATAGTGAGCACCAAAACAGAGAGAGAGAGAGAGAGAGAGAGAGAGAGAGAGAGCGAAAGTGCATTTTCCCACTTAAATCCGAACCACAAATGGATTTCGATTTTCATTCATAATAGATATCATATGTTATATCAGTTTTATTCGTGAATTTATTTATTTTGCCGACGCTTTCTATGCCTTTATATCCATTTTCTTAATGTGATTTTCCAACAAAAATATAAACAAAACAAAACTTTTGTTTTAACTTTATATCTAGTGCTTTACTTTTATGGCACTTTTGGAAATACCTTTAATCTGATTAAAAGCAAAATTAATTGTCTTATTATATGATAAAAATCTGTTTGAAAACTTATTAAATTCATTGCTTATGTCAAAAATCTTAATTAAAATTTCATAAATGAATATAAAAGAATCACATTCATAACAATTACACTATTAAATCCTGTCGGTTATCATAGAGGGTTTGAATAAAATTTTACAGAATATTCTGTAAATAAAGTTAACAAACATAACATAAATATTACATATTGTTTATAAAAGCGAGTGAATAATGTATTATTAATATCTCTTTTGGCATACAGTAAGTCAAGTGAAGTCAGATCTGATGGCATTCACAGAACACGGAGATTACTGTCGGATATTTCGCATGACTTACACCAAACCAATCAAACAACTAAAACAACAAACATCAGCACAAGTGGACGACGAGGCCGGAGCTGCCGGCGCCGCACAACAGCCCACATACTTATCAACAAAAATCTTCTTGCCTTACAAAAAGTGTGACACTATAACTGACATCAAACAGAGACTATCCGATTGGGTTAACCAGTATTTGGGTAATTATTTGACCGACCATTTTCTGTTTACCCCTTTTATCCATAAAACCATATTTTATGTATAAAACAATGTTTATATAGCTATACAAATAGATTATAAAGTTTTGTGATTTTTAAAATGTTTTGGCTGATGATGGTTAAAAAATGTGATAACACCTGCATCTCTAATCGACACTCAATTCCGGTGCAGATGTTTAGTAATAAATATAAGCATTTTTAAATCGTTAAATACTCAAGAATTGCAATTCTTATAGACATTATTCTTGATATTTTTTAACATCAATCACAATTTTCAATCAAATTTATAACCATTTGTTTATAATAGAGTTTATTTACATAATATACATTTAGTATACAAATATAATCAGGCTTTAACTGTATTGCATTTATGACATTAATATTATGCAAGAAATATCTGTGAGTACTTTATAGTGAAGTCTGTATTTCGTGACAAAACTCTCTGTCAAAACCAAATCTGATCCATCAATACGTGTATTGCATACGAATAGACAAACCATATATCAAACCCAGAGTTTACTTAAAAACAAAATATTTTAACTGTTTTTTCGATTGTCTTTAAATATATTGAGGATTTTATTGTATTTTTGTTTGTTTTCAGTTTTGGAGAAGTGTTTCATTTATAAAAATAATGGTTTTTACGATCGTATTAGTGGAGTAATAAGTAATAGTGTTTATTTAGTTTTGAGTCTAACCTAATAAATATTAAACCAAACTGAGAGAGAGAGAGAGAGAGAGAGAGAGAGAGAGAGAGAGAGAGACNTAACTATTAATATATAGAAAACGCAAACAGAGAATTGTGGCGATAATAAAAACTCCTAACCATTTATATAGTGTTATAAATGAAACTACATTTTCAATAATTCATATCAATATTTGCCAAATCGTATCGAGAGTTATGTTTGCATTTCTCGCAATCAATTAATTAATTATTCAAAACATTTTGTCGTCATTTATAAATATATGGATAAATTTACATCAGTTTTAATAAATATTAAGTCCGCGAGAAAATGTTATGACAGCAATAAATTGGCATAAAATGTATAATAATTTATATTGAGTATGTTTTCACTTTAAATTGCATGTATAGCATACTTTTATCACTGACCAGAGAGAGAGAGAGAGAGAGAGAGAGAATTTAAACAATTCGTTTCACTAATAAATATTTTGCACTTTTTTTGGGTTTTTAAAACAAAAAGTCGATATCGAGAATACAAATACCTCTCACTTATTGATAAAAATGCTTTTCGAAAGTTTTTTTCTCACAGAAAGAATAGAGTATAACATTATTCCGTGTCCTCTAATAAATTGCAATCTCTATTTTTCTTGTGTTTCATGTCTTCGTTGTCTCTTTAAGAGATACGAGAGAGAGAGAGAGAGAGAGAGAGAGAGAGAGAGATTTACACTTTATATCAATTTTGTGTTTTCTTTGCTTCCAGTGATAAACACCGAACCCTTTAAACATTAAATCCGTGCGAAAAAATACTTTTAATATATACTATAAAAATAAGATTCCGTGAAAACTATGTTAAAATTCATATTGAATTGCATTAGTGTTTTGGGAATAACATTATATTGCCAAAATTTATTCATGGTATAAATATTTGTATTTATTAAAAATGTTTAAATTTTTACTGATTTTAAGAAAACATTTTTTTCTAATTCTCACTGAGAATTAAAAATCGGAAATTTAGTATTATTCAATATATAAACACAAAATATATTTATACAAAATTTAATTAAATGAATTGCATTTTCTTCTATGGATTTCTGACGAGAGAGAGAGAGAGAGAGAGAGAAAGTGCATTTTCCCACTTAAATCTGAACCACAAATGGATTTCGATTTTCATTCATAATAGATATCATATGTTATATCAGTTTTATTCGTGAATTTATTTATTTTGCCGACGCTTTCTATGCCTTTATATCCATTTTCTTAATGCGATTTTCCAACAAAAATATAAACAAAACAAAACTTTTGTTTTAACTTTATATTCAGTGCTTTATTTTTATGGCACTTTTGGAAATACCTTTAATCTGATTAAAAGCAAAATTAATTGTCTTATTATATGATAAAAATCTGTTTGAAATCTTATTATATTCATTGTTTATGTCAGAAAATTTCAATTAAAGTTTCATAAATGAATATAAAAGAATCACCTTCATAAAAATTACACTATTATCCTGTTTTCTATCATAGATGGTTTGAATATTCTCAACATTTTACAGAATATTCTGTAAATAAAGTTAACAAACAGAACATTAATATTACATATTGTTTATAAAAGCGAGTAAATAATGTATTATTAATATCTCTTTTGGCATACAGTAAGTCAAGTGAAGTCAAATCTGATGGCATTCACAGAACACGGAGATTACTGTCGGATATTTCGCATGACTTACACAAAACCAATACAACAAACAGCAGCACAAGTGGACGACGAGGCCGGAGCTGCCCCCGCGCAACAACAGCCCACATATTTATCAACAAAAATCTTCTTGCCTTACAAAAAATGTGACACTATTACTGACATCAAACAGAGACTATCCGATTGGGTTAACCAGTATTTGGGTAATTATTTGACCGATCATTTTCTGTTTACCCTTTTATTTATAAAACCATATGTAATATTATATTTTATGTATAAAACAATGTTGATATAGCTATACAAATAGATTATAATGTTTTGTGATTTTAAAAATGTTTTGGCTGATGATGGTTAAAAAATGTAATAACACCTGCACCTTTAATCGACACTCAATTCCGGTGCAGATGTTTAGTAATAAATAAAATCATTTTTAAATCGTTAAATACTCAAGAATTTCAATTCTTATAGACATTATTCTTGATATTTTTTGACATCAATCAAATTTATAACCATTTGTCTATAATAGAGTTTATTTATACAATAGATATTTAGTATACAAATATAATCAGACATAAACTGCATTGCATTTATGACATTAATATTATGCAAAAAAATATATCTGTAAGTACTTTATAGTGAAGTCTGTATTTCGTGACAAAACTCTCTGTCAAAACCAAATCTGATCCATCAATACCTGTATTGCATACGAGTAGACAAACCATATATCAAACCCAGAGTTTACTTAAAAACAAAATATTTTAACTGCTCTTTCGATTGTCTTTAAATATATTGAGGATTTTATTGTATTTTTTTGTTTGTTTTCAGTTTTGGAGAAGTGTTTCATTTATAAAAATAATGGTTTTTACGATCGTATTAGTGGAGTAATAAGTAATAGTGTTTATTTAGTTTTGAGTCTAACCTAATAAATATTAAACCAAACTGAGAGAGAGAGAGAGAGAGAGAGAGAGAGAGAGAGAGAGATTAGAGGAGGGAGAGAGTGTGAGAAAGAGAAATACTCATCTCATTTAAGATACCATTGAAGAGATACTTTATTCAGTCATTGAATAAAGCCCTCAAAGATATGTGTTTGAAATATATTAAGTACTGTATAGTGTGGTGTATATGTGTTGGGATACATAACAATTAACCCAATGATGAACCTATATTACTATACAGAACTGTATCTGTAATGTTTAGTTTGTGTCAATTCACATCACATCCCAATTTTTGTCTATACTTTTATATGTAATACACTATTTTGTTTAGGAATTGATTTTAATATTTTATATACAATTATATTGCAAATGTATAACAAATTTATTTGACATAATCATTGATAACAAACAACGAAAAATGTTTTCTTTTGTTAAAATTCTGTAGAAAATATATTTTTATTTGAAATATTTATGTGTTTATATGAAATTTAAGATATATTTTATAAAAACCATAATATATTGCTCTTTGGAAAAACTTTTCCAACAGATATAACGATGAAAAATAAAAGTTTAGGATAAAATTGAAACATAATTTCAATGTATATTAATACACAGATTGAATGCATTTTGGATACAAAACGATGAAATAGTATTTTGTAATTTAAATTCTGTGTTTCGTTGAAAAATTCATGAGTCTATGAATTCCATTACTATTTACACGAATGAACTGATTCTGTAATCAATTCTCATTGAAATCTATGAATAATTTACAAATAGATAGACATTGAAAGCAAGATTCTTATGAATTATTGTATATCTACAATATAAATGCTTGACATTACATTTGAATATGTAATAAATGTCACAGATAACTTTAAGAACAATATTGTTTACTGCACATAAATGGTACAAATATGTACATGGTGAGAACTATATTAATCTCATAAATGTGATCGTTTTTGCAAACATGAGACTCAAAAATGATTGATTGATTAGATAGTGTTTGAGCCGACATTCAATTTCTAGCAGACATTAGAAATGTTGTCCCAAAGTATTGTAAAATATCAGACAATTTCTTATAATACAAGTTTTGCACCAATGGTTTCAATCATAAGTGTATCCGTTTTGCGCACGAATTGTATCGAAATATTTTGCCCTTTTATTTAAATATGTATAACATTTAGCGTATATATTAAACATCTATTTTACTGACATGTCTTACATAAGGAAATATATTTTTATAGTAAAATTTTTTTCACTTAATTTGATTGAATGTGTGATCATATGAGATATAGTTTTCGTAAAATTAATTGTATATTGTTTGTTAAAAATACTTTTAAATCAATTTAATATTCAGATTTATAATTTAATTATTCAATTCAATTCAATTTTTAAATAGTTAGCAAATAATGAATACTGGTGAATTACAAACATTCCGCCGCATATTTAATAAATTTATCAGATTCTGAATATTAACCAAAATATAAACATTTTGTAACAATAATAATACGGAAGGAATTGAATCTAAAATTTAGATTTAAATGTTTATATCTTATGATATTTTTTATTTTAGCATCATGTTTATAAAATTAATAATCAGGACTCAAATTAATTTAAACTAGATTAATAATTTTTATGTATCCGTGTTTTAAAGTATTATATTTTCTATATTGAACTCTATTATAAAATTTTCGATATATTTAAATTATGGTATTAATCTGTTATTTAAATGAATAAACCACTTATTTATGCCATTCATTAACAGTAATATTATGATAAATATTCCAACATTTATTACAAAAATAAACATTTATAATAAGTGGTAAATACTCGAGTTAATATCAATATTTATTTATACATTACCCTAATTTATATAATTCATTAAATTTTAATAAACTAAACATTATTTGAATATGAATAGCCATATTAATTTTATAAATGCAAACAGACATTTCATTTAAATGTAAATTGAAAATATCGTATGCAATTAATTAATGATTGTTTATAAATATTTTAAGCTATGACAATTTTATTAAAGAATTACAGTAAATTAAAAATTTATATAAAATTCGTAAAAATAATTTAATTTATTGCTATTATTTGTCAACAAATAGAAAATACCTGAAATATTTTTAATATAATAAACTCCAATATATGACAAATAGCAAAATTACATTAAATTTTTATTAAAGTGTTACTATATTTAGACAAATATTTGACAGATATTTATTTCATTTAATGCAATTCGTGAATATTTTGTTATTTACATGACATTTACCGTTCAAACCATATATTTACTAACAATGAGTGAATAAAAATGTACAAAAAATAAAATAAAATCAAGATTTATCAATGAAAAAGACGATTACATAATGTATGAAATATTTATTTTCAAATCATATAAA